TAGGCGGCGAAGCGATTATAGACCTGCCTTACCGATTATAACCACTTCTTACGTATACATCTTAGGAGGATTTGGTGTCGATTTTTCTTCTATGCCGGAATCTGATGAGGAATATGCCCGTAATGTGGAGAAGGTGGCCCAAAAATTGCTCAGTCATGGTGTGACGTCTTTCGTGCCAACAGTGATAACAAGCCCTCCGGAAGTGTATGCTAAGGTATGTCTGACTGTATAAGCAATTATTCATAGTGTGCTCATCGATATTTTCCACTTGATTTTTACGTAGCGACAGGGTAAAACTTTTATGGGACCAAATTTGACTTGGCTTGCGGGAATAGATACGCCAAGGTGGAGAGCAGAGTCATTAAGACCGTGCATCCTTCGGTAGTTTGAAAATCTCTGGGCGGAAGGGTCCCAACACGGACACGGGTCGGAATTTCGAAGCGAATTTCTATAAGTTCTACAGATGCTTTTTCGCTACGAACTTCACTGATTGCTCAGCTTGAGGGGGGGGGGGGCTCCTACAGCAACGCTTTCACTTCCAAGCATCTTCACTTCGTTGCTTTGCCGTCGAGTCATTACATATGATTATGTGTGTCATTGCACACATTCATATATGGCGTCCAAATCCTGGATCTGGGTGCAAAACGCAAGAGACCGACATACAGCTATCGCTTACATAAATCTGACTTGTTTCTGAAAAGGAAAGAAAATAAAGAAATCACTAAAAACACTGAAGGGTATCTGATCTAAGAATCCAAGCTAAGACGCCAAAGATGGATGATGTGTGCAATGACACACATTCCTTTGAAATGACTCGACTGTATTACATTAGGCGCTGTCCTGTGCACTACTGCCCCACTTTTCGTGTGTTTCTGCATCTGACGCTGATCCGGTTAGAAAAATCTCGGTATAGGACTAAAGTCCCATAATCTCTTTTGCCTACGCATTGATTTGAAATTGAGCGAAATTCGCTTCAAACCGCATTTTCAAATTTTACTGGTATCAGCATTGTATTC